AGAGCTCAGCCCTAGCTCTTACACATGCACATAGGAGCGCAGCTTTGTAAATAAAATCACAGCTGATGACATAGCACTGGATACAAGGGGGCTGAAGCCTATCCCAGCTGACATTGGACGAGAGGCAGGGTACACCCTGGACAGGTCGCCAGACTATCACAGGGCTGACACACAGAGACAGACAACCATTCACGCTCACATTCACACCTACAGACAATTTAGAGTTATCAATTAACCTAGTCCTCAATCTGCATGTTTTTGGACTGTGGGAGGAAGCTGGAGTGCCCGGAGAGAACCCACGCTGACACGGGGAGAACATGCAAACTCCGCACAGAAGGGCTCCCACGCCCGGGATCGAACTGGCAACCCTCTTGCTGTGAGGCGACAGTGCTAACCACCACAACACCGTGCCGCCCTGAATACTTTTTTTACCACTGAATATAAATAATACCAATTTGTCATTTCTTGCATTAAAGGAATATATAACCCACAATATGACCATTTATGTATCAATTAGTCATCGAGTCTGGCTTTGAGGAGAGCACAGATGAGCTTTTGCCTGATATTAGATGTAACTGTCAACTTGACACTGCATCCACTCTAGACTCACAAGTCAGTCTTTAGACGCTTTGCTTAACTAAAGACTGATGTCTTTCTCCCTGATTTTGTGTTTAGATGGGCGGATACAATTTCAGAGTTTAAAAAAACTCCCTACGTTGCAGAACCAATAGTAAATCCGCAGGGCAGTCCTTTGGTTGCTCGCTGAACTCTTGTGCTCGTAAACATAGTCTGACTGCGTTTAAAGTTTTAAACAAAGTCGCTGTAAGTCCTTCATTTTTACAGTCTTGTGGACTGAGCACACGTTTGATAAAACGGAGTTAAATCTCTTGGCATCCATTTTCAAGCTCTCTGTGTGTTTGTTTCCTTGCGGAAGAGAAAAAGGGGAGCACGCATTTCCAGGAGGGCGTGTCCTTTTCAAAAATGCAAACACTTTAGAAAGAAGTGTCCCCAGACTATCAGAAGGCGGAGATCTCTGATTGTCTGGTGGCGAGACTACATCTACTCTAACCGACTCCTATGGAGGAGGAGGTTTCGATTTTCTCTAACCTAGCACTTAGAGACCAACATATGTGTCTGAATGGGTCTGCAACATTGCACGCCTGTGGTAGGCAGATACGCCAGATTTGCTGCTAAGGATACAGATGGTGGCTCTGGCCCGAGGGCAAGGGTCATGACAAGGTTGTGGTAGACCTTTAAAGTGGGTCAAGTACAACAATTTCAAGTTCAACAAGTTCTATGTTTTTACATGATAAATAAATGTATTTTTATCATTTAAACACTTTTCAACTTGCCATCCCCTGCAGGTATTGTGAAATGGTTCAGTCCATCTGACAGATGGAGTCAGGTGTGCGATGTGCAGAAATCCCAAGTGCTGTTAATGTAAACACATGAGGCAGACAGCAGACTAACTAGACAGGTCAGAATGCCTCACCAAAAATAAGGGACCACTAAAGGAAAAGTCAGGGTACAGAGAAAACAAGACAATGAAAGCAGCAGAAAGGCTGTGGACAAATGTCTGAAAGCAGCATCTGGAGCAACCAATGGAGCGTACCCTTGTCTACTGGATGCGTTTCTGGAGCGCCGTGCCATGTAGCAGAGCCGCATGCTCACACATGGGAACTGCAAAATCACGCGATAAAAAGCACCATTCACTCCCAAAACTCCTGCAATTTCACACCACGTCTTCTCTTTTCTGTTTTTATCCTTGTAGAAAGGATGTGTGGTGTCATACAAAATACTATGGTTTTCCACTTAAACTATGAGTTTCTCCTCGTCCATCTTTCCTTGGACCCTCGCACTGGCTGACAACTTGTGCGACAGGATGTGACGTGATTTTTAAAAAAAATTGAGAGTTTTCAATCTGTAGTCCATGCATTGTGTTGTATTTTGAAATTTACCCAATGCTGTGTGTGTTTCGTTTCCAGTTTGGTGCGATCTGAGCTATGTGGCTTGATGTGCTATGGACGCTGAAAAATAGACCTTGCGCGTATCTTTAACGAAGCAGAGCGCCATGGCGCTTGTGGGACGCTCCAGAGATGCAGCGCGGCGCACGCTGTGGAAATGAAGCTACTCACTAGAATGGGCGCATATCTGCTATGAGCTGCGCGGCGCAGACAGAGTATGTGGAAAGTGGGGGTCAGTTTTAAAGCTACAGTGAAGACACTAATATCATATTAAACATGAGGACCTAAGGCATCCATTGGTACAAACCAACCAAAAGGAACATTGTCATTTTTCAAAATGGCGTATTTAAATAGTCCTCCATACTGGGGTCCCTGAACAGTATTGGAATTACCTAAATTGGGTATAAACTGAAAGTTGAAACCATTTACTCTTTACAATATTTCCGTTTTGCACACAAATTGACCTGCTGGTGGACACCAGCTGTGAGGGAGGTCGTCAGACTGAAGAAAGGGGTCTCCTGAAGCAGCAGACAGAAGGATGGCCAGAAGGGCTGCAGCTGTGGCAGTCACTGAAGTAAAAACCCGGGTGTGGGAGGACTTCGCAGAGGCTATGGAGATTGATGGATAGTGTAACGGACAGGGTGATGTGATTTTATGGAAATGGATGCTGTTACTGTTAAGAATGTGTTCAGCTACAGCAAAAAGTCTGTTACGGTAGGTAGTGGTTTTCCATAATCTCAGTGAACGTCTCACTCCCAGCAGACTCATGTGTTTTAGACGCTGTGAAGCCTGTCAGTCAATACTGGCACCTATGCTAGTGACCTGTGTGAGATACCAACCTGTGATTGGCAGAGGCTTGAGAAGAGGATCACTGTTATGCCTGTTTTGTGTGTGTGTGTGTGTGTGTGTGTGTGTGTGTGTGTGTAAGCTAGGAGGGGGAGTTGTTAGTTAGCCGCTAATGAGGGAAGACACTGTTATAAGCAGACAGGTTTGTTATTTTGCCGTCGGTTACGGCCCACAGTAACCTGTGTAAGGTTAAGAAATAAAGAACCAGCAAACGAGTACAATATTTTCCCTGTAATAGGCTATATGTTCCTGAGACATTAATCTGTTAGAGAGTAATGTTGTTTAAAAAAAAAAAAAAAAAGAAAAAGGTAAAGCTTAAAAAAGATCCGTGGCTTTTGATGAAAGATCCAAGGCTCAAGTCCTGAGAGCACAGCCCTCCCGCCACCTATGTCGGGGGGTCTTGTGGGGGGTACTGCAGGACTATGGAGTACCTGGCTCGCTGCTACGAGCCGTCCGGTCCCCATATGACCAAAGTGAGAACTGTGTCATATACTTGGGGTGATGTCAGACACATTCTCAGTGGATGTTGGCCTCTGCCTGTTTGTGATATTCATGGACAGGATCTCAAGGCGAAGCCGGAGGAAGGGGTTTCAGTTTGGGGACCTAAGAATTGCATTTCTTCTTTTTGCAGATGATGTGGTTGTCTTGGTTTCATCACACCTTGATCTCCAGCATGCACTGAGGCGGTTTGCAGCCAAGTGTGAAGCGGTCAGCAGAGTCAGCACCTCCAAATCTGAGGCCATGGTTCTCTGCCAGAAACTGGTGGAGGGTAGACTGGAACGTGAGATGGATCAGTGGTTTGGTGCGGCTTCTGCAGTGATGCAGGCGCTGTGCCGGAACGTCATGGTGAAGAGGGAGCTGAGCCAGAAGGCGAGGCTTTCGATTTACTGGTCCATCTACATCCCAACCCTTAACTGCCGTCATTAGCTCTGGGTAGTGACCAAAAGAATGAGATCTTGAATACAAGCGGCTGAAATGAGTTTCCTCCGTGAGGTGGCTGGGCTCAGCCTTAGAGACAGGGCAAGGAGCTCGGACATCTGGAGGGAGCTTGGAGTAGAGCCACTGCTCCTTTGCGTTGAAAGGGGTCAGTTAAGGTGGTTCAGGCATCTGATCAGGATGCCTCCTGGACACCTCCCGTTGGAGGTGTTTTGGGTACGTCCCACTGGTAGGAGGCCCAGGGGCCAAACCAGAACATGCTGGAGGGGTTACATATCTCATCTGGCCTGGGCACACCTTGGGATCCCCCAGGAGGAGCTGGAAAGCGTTGCTGGGCAGAGGGACGTCTGGGGTGCTTTGGTCTGCTGCCCCCACGACTCGGCCCGGCATAAGTGGAAGGATATAGATAGATAAATGGATGAATGGATGTTGGGCCATTAAATATAAATATCTAAATATCTATGGTGTGCTGATAACATGTTTTTTATAGTTAACAGCGTAAACTATGGTAAACCAGCGGTGTGGTCTTTTGAACACAGAAAACTGCGGCTGCACTGCACAGCAGGTGTTTTCCATTAGCTGCTGTTTGAGGATTGATGTGGTGTGCGGTCAGAAGTGCAACATGCAACATTAAGGTTTTCAGTCCATAGAGAGCAGTTCAGCTCTCTATGGCCTCTTTTCTGACCTCATTCTCCACATCACATGTGAAAACATGACACTATCAAACACCCTGTCTCAAAATAAATGTATCTATGATATAATATTACATATATAAACCAATATTAATACTAGGGCTGCAACTAAGAAGTTTTTGTTTTTTCACTATAGATTTGTCAATTTATTTTTTATTTTTTGGTTAATTGATTAGTTTTTTGGTCTATGAAATGTCAGAAAATGGTGAAAAATGTTGATCAGTGTTTCCCAAAACATCCTCAAATGTCTTGTTTTGGCCACAACCCATAGAAAGTCAGTTTGCTGCCATAGAGTAGTGAAGAAAACAGAAAATATTTACATATAAAAAGCTGGCATCAGAGAATTTAACTTTTTTTAATTAATCAAATAATTATCCAATTATCAAATTAGTTGACAATTAATTAATACAATGTTTGTAACAGGAAAAACTAAAACATCTATATTTCAGTTAGTTAGTTAGTTAGTTAGTACTGTACTTTGTTTAGATATCTGGGCCAAATACAATTTGTTACTGTTTGTAATTGCGTGTGTGTGTGTGTGTGTGTGTGTGTGTGTGTGTACCTAAGAACTTGACCAGCAGTGAATGGGGGTATTTCTTCAGATGTTCCATGTAGATCTTCAGGTTGGCCAGAAGGAATTTGATTTCCCTTTTGTTTTGGGTCTTCAAAAAGAAGCGTTTATCATTTCTAGAAGTTCAAAAGTACAGATTAAGTAGATTTCTATCCTATCAATATTACAACATGCCACACTCTGACCATTTATAATGAAAAGTTATTATTCTGATCCTTTACTTTGTCAAAACTTTACTGGTTCCTTAAACAAAGTGCTTGACATCATTGTTAGCTGCAACAACTTGCTTTCTTAAACTGTGAGATAATAGAGACAGGTTTTGCCCACCTAAGTACGCATCTGTCATTAAGTTTGTGTGAACTGAGTAATTCCTGTGCAAGGTGTTAGGTTTACAGCTAAGGTTTCAATGAGGCTGGGTCTACAGTTAAGGTTAAAGATACATCAAGGGCTTGCAGTTTGTAAATAGGATCTCAGTCCCAATAAATGTTCATTTAAAGGCAGATGAAAACAGAGACACAATCATGTTTGTGTATGAGTTAACAGCTGGTGTGTGATGACTCACGTCAAGAAGAAGTCGGCCTTGCTCTTGGAGTTACTGATGAATTGGAGGTAGCAGTTTTCAGAGCAGAGCGACTGCTGATACTCTTGCTCAGTCATTCCTAAAGAGCCACGCAGGCTGGCAAACACTGGGCCAGCAAACGTCTCCATTGTAAAATCCTACACACACTCGCGCGCACACACACACACACACACACACACACACACACATAGACATGCAACTTCAAATTTAGGTGAAAGCATTCAAAACAGTAATTAATTTGAGTCCTGTTAGTTAATGAGATACTGTAATACTTCAATTAAATGCCTAGTCCCAATCAAACGCCCAGTCCCTTTTACTATCCTGGTGTTGTGACACATTTTAACAAATAAACGCCTGTCTCAGTTGGACGCCTGGTCTGGTTGCCAAGCAGTTCATTTTTACAGAAGTTCTTGGATGTATAAAACCAGGTTGTTGGCTACCCACTTAGGCTAATGTTAGTTAGCTGCTTTGATCAGGCATACAAATATAACCATGACCACCAAAGAACACTGTAATTCACTACAAGTATGGTAAACAAGAGAGACCAAACTAGAGGTGACTCCCTTCCCCTTAAGTGGTCAGAAAATAAGAATATGTGTCTATTCCTCAGTTACCCAGTAAGTTATTTATTTTCCTTTAGTCTGTAAGGGTCCAGCAATCAAAAGAATCAAAAGTGTTTTTATGAAAATTAATCCAGATGAATATTGTTTTAATGGGATACAGTGGTGTTGTGTTGGTATGCAAGGTGCCATAACCCAAATGAGTGACTTAAAATTAATATGTCATTTGAAGCCTACATTTTATACAAATAATATACATACTGGTTTAAATAAACAATTGGATTGTATTTCCCATCTTTGCTAAGCAACAATTTTGTCTGAAATGAATCAAAGGCCTGTCCCAAGTAGACTGCTGTCCCAAATATAAGCCTGTTGAGTTCAGTGATTTAAGCAAATAATAGCCCAGGCTACCACTTGAAGTTTTACAGTATATCCACCTACCTTATGTATCTGAGTGACCTCTAATTTGAAGTCAGTATCTGACAGTTCATTCTAGAGGGGGAGGAAGAGAAAAGATGTGATTAAGAATAAGAACATCTATCTATCTATCTATCTATTATACACTGTATAATATATAATATAGTATTGATGAGCACACAAGCACATTGTTTTGCATTTTGGGTTTTGCATTATGGATTAAAACACCAGTATTTCTTCAATGTATTAGCCTTCAATCCACATACAATCCATTCTTATTTTTGAAATATTAATACAGGAATACATAACTCACATATGAAACCAAATGAACCTTAACAGAACTGATCTGGACGCTGGAGTACACATCTAGTTCAAAAGACTGGATAGAGCAACTCTTCCAAGAGTATGTGGACACTGCTTCTTATTAGTGGGTTTAACTGTCTCAGCCACACTCACTGCTAACAGGAACATAAAGACTAAGGGAGATATTTACTCCAAATTTTTGGCAATATTTCAGGCACTAAGCAGCCAAATTGTCAGAAATCAGTTCAGGAATGACCAAAAGCGGGATAACACAATGAATTAAAGACACCAGGCAGGAAACGGAGCAGGGGTCTTCTTTCCTCTTATATCTTAATTTGTATACTAGTCAGTAAGGGGGACATTTCTTTATCTGCAACAAACTCAGTCTGCACTGACATTCAGCTTAACAAAGCACACTTGAACAGTTTGTATTTATATGCTCACCACAACCACTATCAAATTGAACCGAAATGAAACTGAGTGAGACTTAAACCACACTTTCGTCACACTGACACTTTATCTCTTTCTCACGTCCAGAACATCAATACTACAATTTATCCCTTTTTCACTTGAACTGGATAGCAAATATTTAAGGCACAGGCATCTATGTGTAGCACAACTTTATACGTTTTGACTTTACACGTTTTTAAACATGCATTCAAATACAGTTGAACAGCTCAAACACAGCAATTGAACTATCAGAGCTGGACTTGGTAGGAAAGGGTTAAGGCAGCGCTGGAAGCTGCATCAAGCTTGGCAAGCGTGCAGTTTCATGCATCCGTCAGCTGCACACACTCACGCACACACAACAGTTCCACACATGGACGACCCAAACACCTTTATAAAACACTGTCAGTCCGTCAGAGGTCAAAGTCAGTCCACTGGATATTGTCTTGTGTATTGGTAGATTATCAGATGTGAAATTTATTTATTTCACTCTTGGAGATGTTGACTCGGGCTGTGCTTATGTGTATATACCCGTCCATGCTGGCTTCCACTACTCCCTTTGCCAGTCGTGGCTCATACGGGGGAACCCTGAAAAGGTTGGGGTACCCTCAATCTTGCCACATAAATCTCTTTCAATATCTCCAATGCCAATTTCATTCATGTGCCTAATTGACTATTTAAAAACACAGTTTGTTTATCCTGTCAGGTTCCCCACGTCTCTTTGAGGATTATGTAGTTATGAATCTATTCTAATGCATAGATTATTTATGCCCTTCTAGAGACTGAAATAACTATTCAGAGTCACACAGTCAGTGCAATTGTAACCTTCGTGTTTTCTTACAGTCTGGTCACCTGCCATCCAACTGCTTCTCCTCTCTAGTGATTTTCATAAAAATAATAGATTATCCTGAAATCTGTCGAGTAATCACTCTTCAGAGCTCTTAAAAGGAGTGCCTAGGATAACAGACTGAGGGGACTCTTACCGGGTTCTCTGACCTTTCAGATCTCCACTCTGCTCCAAAGTGAGCACGCATCCCCAATTTCAGCCTTGACTCCAGCTTTACTGGCGAGTCCACACACAGCTAAGAGCCAAGCAATGCAGGCACAACAACAACAACAACAACAATATATGCCGGCACACGGCTGGCCTTAAACACTTCTCTGCTGCCAGCCTCCAGGCCTCCCCGGGGGAAATGACCCTGCTAGCCTTATACACTTCTCTACTGTCAGCCTCTGGGTCCATACTTGGTCAACTGTTCAGCTGCCCTTAACACAGATTACAGTCCAATCTCTAATTAGACTGTCGCTCACACTTAAGGCATATGTTTCAATATGAATTTTCGCAATGCAACACTCTGCAATGCCAGCAGCCACACATGTGCACGAGTTGTTGGCTGCAACCGATCCCCGTCATACACAGGCTCTTTGTTTTGAGAGAGCCTAAAAGCTCAGCCACGTCTCAGTTTAATCAGTGAGAATATACGTCTCCTACCTTTAGGTTTGCCAGCATGTAGCTTTCATCTGCATTCATATGAGACTAAACCCAAGTGTATCACTCCTCGATTTGATATGTAATTTGTTTTCTGAGTCACCAGCGAGTTAAAAATCTGAACACGAAAGGAAACAAATGACCTTCATTTATTGGAAGGATTTTTCTCTCTTTTTCTCTGTTATTTCCCTCATAAACTTGTATTATGAATACAATCAAAGTCAGAGAGTCTGTCTGTCAGCAAGAAACACTTTTTACATCACTGACCCTCATTTTCATTCAGTCATACTGAGGCTGGTCAGTCCTGAGCGTCGGGTTGATGAGTTACAGAATTTTAATTTTCCCTGAAACGTTTGGCCTAATAAATCATTTCCAGTGTTCAAAAGACACCATAACTATATTCTGGGTTATTAAATAGTAAATTCACCATCAAGAATATTAATGATCAATTGTTAGACAAAGAGAAAACATTGCTGCTCTGCTACTGATGCTATATCTGTATTTTATCATTAGATATGTATAACATTGTGTGTGCAGACACAAACTCCATCAAAAGTTTCTATAGCTGTTAATAAAGCCTCCTGACAGCTGATCCAGCTGTAATCAGCTGCCACTGTCATCAGAAACAGATGTCGCTTCACATGATGCTTCAATGGAAAAGACATCTCATTAATCTAAAGACATATTTCCTCATTTCTTCTCTCACCCTGCATCTCACCCCTATGTCTTATGAGATGCAAGTGAGGGAAACGTGGATGCAATATCAGGTATTGGTATAAACCCTCTGGTAACAGGGAAGGACTAATGAGACTGGTGGAAGACAAGTGTGACAGAAAAAAGGCAGGAAAACACACAAAGACAGAAAATAAAACATGACATGACACATGAGGAGAGAATCTGAATAACATAAAACAATGAAGAACACAAACAGAAAACCCCAAAACGAATTCCATTAGATATCCTGTATATAAACGAAAACCAGGATCATGACATCCTTATTCACTCAAGGACTGCAGGTTTTACGCAGGTAAAATGGCGAAAGAACATCAATGGTGAAAATTTTGTGTTTGGACACATACAACATGTTGTTGAGGTGCAAACTATGGGAGGGAGAATGGAAATTTATATAAATAGCCACTGCACTGATTTATCACTGCCAACTGTTCACTGCAGCAGTATGGACAAGTTAAAATGCCTACATAAAGTAAAATGTATGAAATAAATGAAGTGAAACACAATACACATTGTTATTTGTATTTTCTTTTTATGTATGCATTTACTGTGTCATAATTACATGAAAACAGATGGTAAATGACAGTTGTTAAGCTTTTTATGTGACATGAATTTTCCATGACACATTAAGATCAAATTGCAACACAAAAAAAAAGTGAAGAGATGCACTGCCTTTCAGCAAAGGTCAGCAAGAACCTGCCAGTGATAAATGCAAAGCAGCGTCATTTGTTTTCAAGAGGATGTGTGAGGGAGCGTTTTCTTTTTTTGAGATGGATATTGAAGTTATATTCCCTTCGTCTGCACCACGGCCTCTCTGTTGTTGTCTGACTTCACTCTGTTGAGTTTGTGTGTGTGTGTGTGTGTGTGTGTGTGTGTGCGTGCACGCTGTGAGGAGGTGGTCAGCCCTGACATGCAGAGAGCAACTCATTTCTGAATTTCGAAAATGAATAAATAAATAAAGCAATCGGCCTAATCATGTATGTACAAAATGCTATAAGGCTACTTTACCTGTTCTGAAGACATGATGATCGCGCATTACACGGCCAGCTTCAGGAAGTTCACCGGTATCATTGGCTTGTCAACAAATGCACGCGCAGAAAGATTTTTGTGACAGTTGTAACAGACAATACTGTTTAGCACTCTCACTCAATACTGGACCAACTTCAAAAACTGTTTCCATTATTCAGTCAGACAATCTTGGGATAAAAGGATCCTGGTATGAAATTACCAAAGTTACCCTTTAAGATCCCTTTAAGTCTTCTGCTCTGACAGATAAATCACCAAAATACTTCACAAAAGTCCACAGGCCTCAGCATGGCAGTTAAATTGATGGTGAGCCCAGTTACAGTGCAGTATTCAAAAAAACAATGGCTGGACAGCAGCGTTATTTGTCAATAGGAGCAGCTCATTTGGAGCAAACACAGAAAACAGGCACTATGAATAGAATTTAATTCACCTCAGCTTACTAACTCCATTTCAAAATGGCCAGTGATGAATAAACAATATGCATCCATATGTCTTCCCCAAAAAGATGCATGTGGTACCACTTTGCCTTTGCACTTTGCCTTTGCCATTCAATCTGCCTCAACTTGTTGGTTTTCTCAAAATCATTTGATCAAATGTCAACGCAAACCACTGTAACACAGTACTTAAGACAATAATCCAATCTTTTTTCATAATCTTAACAAAGACACAAAGACAACCACACAAAGGGTGATAATGTGGGTGCACTGTGTGGGAGAGATGGAATGCAACAGAGAAAAGAAATGAAGATGAGTAAGCTTTGCTCATATATCTCAATCTCTGTGTGAAAATGTTTTTTTTATATCAATGAAAACCAAAAGTTCAAAGGACATCTACTGTATATTCCTATAAAGGGTATGATGAACAGATCAATATTACATTAATTTGTTGTGTATTTTAGTGTGTTTGTGATTTGGGCCCAAGCACAAAGGTGCCAGGGCCCAATGGTCCCTTGCACTGAAATTGAGAGGAACCTTGAAGAATTTATTTTGTAAAAATGATCGTGCTACTGGGCAATTGCATGTTTGAGGGCCTTAGGAAACTGGCATACACATCAGAACTGGCAAAAACTCCAAAGTTCTGTAATCTCAGAGCTTGGGCATGGCCTGCAGGCTTCACAGTGCCCCCAAACGCACACCAGGGTTGTAATTAAGTTTCTTCATCTTCAATAGTATAGAAAATTTTGCCCAAGAGGAAGTCAGCCATCTTGGATTTTGTGCATTAATTTTCATTACATGAACAAATTTTAAGGACTTTTGGATGCACAAAAGCTCTCGAAATGTTGCACCCATGTTCAAATTAATAATTATTTCAATGTGGTGGTGCAATTAGGCTCGCGAGTGGTGTGTTGGCTCTATTGCTCCAGGTCTGAAGACATCTATATTCCTATATTGACTAATAGTCATAGTGCCACCTACTGACAGCAGGGAGTCAGCTTTAGGTGACAAAGACAAAACAATTTGCATGGTGAGGTCTACACATGATATACAGCAGCATGACGTATAATTAGTGTGTATTCTCTGGCGCCACAAGCAGGACACAGCATCTAACTCCTGTGCACAGCCGTTTCAATCGGCAACCTGCCAGTACCCCTGATATGTGCAAAGATGTGAGGGCCTGTTTATCACTGCATGCAGCTTTAACTTTGCTTTTATCTTTTCACTGGAGTAGTCTAACAGCTATTTTGTTTTCAATGTATTCAATTTGGCTAAATTTTCTTTGAAACTTGCATTGTGTTTCAAATGCACAGACTTATACACTCTTACAGTAAAACTGAAGCCCTGTCTGTAATCTTATGACCCGTGAATACTATACTTTAATCTGAATACTAAGTGGGTAGATTTTAAATATTATGTATGTATGTGCATGCATTAGTGATAAAAATGGTGCCTCTGCTAACCCATACTCACTGTAGGTGCATTGTCAATGGTGTTTTGGGTAGCTGCCGCCAATCCCTCCTTCATCATGCAGGTCAGGCTGTAGAACTCGTGCTGCTGATCAATCTCAAACAAGCCCAGAAGCTTCCACTGCTGCCTCAAACCTCCCCACCTCCTCCTCTTCACCGTGTTTGAGCCCTGATGGTGACCTGACATCCCCAGGCCACCTGCAGCTGCTGACATCTCCATCTGAGACACAGAAAAATACACAAATCCAAATGTAATGACTGCTGTCCAATCACCTGACACTTTACTGTAAACACAGAGGAGGTTTTCAAAGATCTGCCAAAAAGAAATCAAAGACTTAAAAGAAGCCAGAGAGGCCAGAGACAAACACAAAAGACAGCTGACTGTCAGTTGAGTCTTTAACAGGGTAACTATGGAAACCAACACAAAAGGATAATAGCCTCATGGGCCTGACTATGGTTAATAGCATAATGCCAGTCCTCCAGCCACCACTTCCCTCCATCAAAACTCATTTATATGTTTAACTACATCTACATTTGTTACAGTAAATCAAGATAAAAAAGTAAGTGAAAAAAACCTACAGTCACATTTATTAGTTTACCTGTGTATTAGTGTAGACAGTAGGCTAAATGAACATGAAGCTAAAGAAAAGGAGGAAACTAGTGGACAACAGTGGCACAAATGCAAATTGTATATAAAAAAAATGTATTAAAACACTTTAACATTTGCTCTACAATCTCTTGCTTTGAAAGCTGCTGAATTTGTACAGTAAGTAAACGCTGGTTGAGGTATATGACCAAAATGCATTTTAAAAGTTAGGCTAGTGATAGTCTATATTTTCTTTGTTTTAACAAACCCCATTAAAATCCCAAACCAACAATGAAAGCATCTACTGACAACCGTTCTGTGCGTAATCTCTCAAGACAGATTCTGCAATTTACATTGTAGAGGAAGAAAAAAAGTTTTTTGTTTTTTTTTGTTTTGTTTTTTTTAACCGATGGATTTCCAGATTGTTTTGTGTGTATCCAAAGCCTGATATCTTACTCCTCTGTGCCATAGTGCCAGCACACCAATGAGCCACAATATTACACTGACTTATAATTCTTCAGTGTACTTTATTTTGACTAAAGATCCTGCTACTGTTTGTATATATATGCTACAGTTTTTATGATCTACAAACTGCATGTTTGTATAAAATATGCCATTTGTAGGAGACAGTAGTCCCCTAAGTAATTGAAACTTGAAAACATTTTTTAAATGTAAGTATGTGTAAAAAGTATCCCTTTTAAAAATAACTAAATAACTAAGATAAAGGCAAGATTCTCCGTCCAGTTGCATGTTTTTTTTCAATATTGCAGATAAGCAAATGTACACGGTATGATAATCGTCAATTTTCATTTCATGATATACATTAAAACTGGTACACCTCTGCAACTAGTTGTAAAGAGAATTAAAGATTTAGCGGCTCATTTTTGAATACTAACAAGGGGTGTTGAACAAATTCTGCCCTGTTTGCAATTTTTAAGAGCAACTTCAGTTACATTGCATTTAATGTGTTGACAGAGGGATGTCATATGCTGTAAAGCCCTCTGAGACAAATTGTTATTTGTGATATTGGGCTTTGTAAATAAAATTGATTGATTGATTGATTGATTGATTGATTGATTGATTGATTGATTTGATGAACATCCAAATTTTATATATCTTGTGTTATTTCTGCAAACTTTAGCTATCACTAAGCTATCACTGACTGCAGCTGCTCCAGTAAATCAACTATTAAAATCATGTCTAAAAACTAAATTATCAACAGACAGGCAAAGGTTTACCGCAGCTGGGAATAAAGTAACACAGGTAATGAGGAAGGCTAAAGCCCAATTTTTTATTAACATAATCAGTAATGCTAAAGGAAATGGCAAAAAAATCTGGAAAATTAAATAATAAACTGACACGAGGGAACAACAGGAAGGATCACAGAGAGTTGAAACTTAAAATCAATAATCAATTAGTGTCAAGTACTAACATCCTAGCATCTAGCCTTAATCACTATTTCATAAACTTTGTCAAAGAAATATGTTCACTCTTTCCTCCTGCAACCTACTCTCATGTCACTGTAACTTCTATAAATCACGCACAATCTATTTTTAACATTGAAGGAATAACAGCAATTGAAGGTGCCAATTCCATAGATGCTTTAAACAGTTCCAAAGCTATGGATGTATACAGACTTGACACTAATTTTCTAAAAGCACACAGGGATTCCTTGGTATGCCCAATTACACACATGATAAATCAATCAATTAATCAATCAACTGTACCATCGGCTTGGGAGATAGCCACAGTCACTCCTATTTACAAATCTGGAGATCAGACAGACGTGGATAATTACTGCCCAATCAGCATTCTTCCAGTAATATCAAAAGTAATGGAGAAATGGGTTGTGAAACAACTAATTGATCATTTGAACATTGATAATTCTCTCCTGCACCCAATGCAGTTAGAAAAGGTCAAAAACTCTCTTTACAAAAGTGCTTGTGTAGGAGCCGTCTTGCTGGATCTAAAAAAGGCTTTCGATACTGTCAACCATCAAATTCTCATCTCTAAACTGAATTCATAAAATTTTTCTGAACACTCTAAATTACGGGTGAGATCATATCTGTCCGAACGAAAACAATATGTCTCTGTTGATGACCAAATCAAATCACCATATCTTGAATGTACGGTAGGGGTCCCACAAGGATCTATACTTGGACCCATTCTTTTTTCATTATTTATTAATGATTTATCAAATGCCTGTAAGAATGTTGATACTGTGATGTACATGGATGACGCAGTGATCCTGACTAAAGCTAAAAGCTTCCCGTATTCTGACTTTGGCCTTGATCCCTATACAGGAATGGCTAACTAACTCTTGTCTAATGTTAAACACCAAAAAGACTGTCTGCACGATGTTTTCAAAACATAAAACTGAAATCAGCCACTCTAATATTTTTTTAAACAGTGAAGAGCTTGAACTCGTTAAAGAATGAAAGTATTTCAGTGTCATTTTAGATCCAACTCTGTCATTCAAAAATCATGTTAAGAAAATCACCAGAACAGTTAAATTTAACTTGAGTAACTTCACACAAATAAGTTCATCACTAACTGAAGAAGCAGCGAGAATGTTCATGCACTCCATGATCTTCTCACATATTGAGTACTGCTTCACAAATTGGTCACTCACAGGAAAAACAATACTCAAACCTACTGAATCTCTCTGTAAAAAAACTCTGAAAAGTTTTGATAGAAAACCACTCTCCTACCATCACTGCGACATCTTAGTACGCCACAATCTTCTAAGGTTCGACAGTTCCACCACTTTTAAACTTGCATGTTCTGTATATAAGATCTTGAATGGACTTGCACCTCCACCTTTGAGTCAGTTTGTTAAATGGAAATCCTCCAGTAATACCACCACTAGAGCAATCTCAAGAGGAGAAAATTGTGAAATTCCATTTAGACGCACTTCCTTTTCACAAACTGTTCTGTCAGTCAGGGGCAGTAAAACCTTGAATAGGCTGCCAATCTCAATAAGGGAATGCTCTACCTTTTTTTATTTTTAAAAGGCACTTAAAAGACTGGCTCAAGTCTAATCAGATCTGTAACCATTGTTAATTTAATTTAATGATTTTTTATGAATATTGTAGCACTTAAAAAAAATATATATATATACATATATATAT